GCGAGGGGCTGCGGCTTGGCCCACAGCCCACACAAGCACCGTTTTGTTGATGGGAAGCTGTTGAATTCTGTAGAGCTGAAACTCTGTATAAAGAGGCACATTTACGACTTCCTGTCCCTTTAGCTATCAATCATTCTAACAAAGGTAGGACTAATAATAACTTGCACGTGTGGCAATTCACAGCTCACACAGCGCCTTCGCATCCCCGTCAACCTCCCTATCTATATGCAATGAAAATATTTTTATGTCTGCACAATATTAAATGGAATCATTAAATTCAACTTGTTTTGCCAAGAGAGCCATTAAAAATACGCTGAGCTTTGACGAGAGTCCTTGCTGAGGTCCTTTGTGTGTTGTCAGCCAGGCTCGTGTCCCAGTCCCTGTGACTAGTGATTGATGGATTATTGATCCTTGGGGCAGGATCAAGTGACCCTTTTATCATTATTATTTTCCAGTTTTGATCAGAGAGAGAGAGAGAGGAAGTGAGAAAGCAAGCCACCAGGTCTGAGACTTGAACCGTGGTTGGCCATGTGGGAGTCTAGCGCCCCCATCCACCATGCCACCTACCGGCCCCAGATCTGTGTAGTTTTTGACACTCTGCATGGGTCATGCTTTCTAAAGAGGTGGCAGCTTTAAACCAAGATGGCAAATACTTGTGTCTGGCGTGCCAGCTCCCATCAGCTGGCAGAATCTACTTGGAGTTAAGGAGGATTTTAAGATCGAGCCTCAGTTTTCTGGAAAAGGAATCGATGATTGGGCAACAATGTCTATCCCAAGAGCAAAGGTCACAGTGGCACATGCCACCTCTTTGCTATAGCTGCTTTAAAGTGTATTTGAAAGACAATGAATCACCCAATATGAACCAAATGGGGTCTAGTGGAAGTCACTAAGGACAAGGGTTTCAGCCCTAAGAATGGAGCCTGGTGTACCTTTCCTGGTTTGGCTTGCTAGGACACTGCTTAGAAATCATCAAATGCTGGGACCAGCGGGTGGCGTGGTGGTTAAGGTGCTGGATACTCCCACATGGCCGACCGCAGTTCGAGTCCTGGACCTGGCGGCTTGCTTTCTCTCTCTCTCGCTCTTTCTCGCTCTGTGTCTCTCTCTCTGGTAAAATAAAATGAATGAATAAATAAAATTTAAAAAGAAATCATCAAATGTGGGAAGCCAGAGGCCCCATGGATGAGGATTCCCGATGCCCCACTTGCCTGCCCTGCTCACCTGGGCTGAGCTGCCCATGCTCCATCCACCTGCAGGTTCTCTGCACACTGTTGCTTCCTTGCAATGTCATGGCCACACTCAAGGGGAATAGGAAGGTTTCAGGGGCAGCTCGCACTGTGGCAATGGACAGCCTCTCTCCCCAGAAACTGTGGTGGCCCGTGGTAAATCTCCAGCTCCTACCTTCTCTTACTCTTAACTCCTAACTCCCCTCCTCGGGAACCCCAGATCTGGGGCACACTGCCCTGCATTGACCTTGGGCTGGGTTCTGGAGCTCTCAGGCCTGCAGGGATCAGATGTACCCAGCGCAGTTGGTTTTACATGCTTGCTCACCGTGGGAAGTACAGAGTTACAGCTCTCACTGCAGTGAGCACACCTTTATGGTTTTACATGCTTGCTCACCGTGGGAAGTAGAGTAACAGCTCTCACTGCAGTGAGCACACCTTTCACCTGGACGACCAGAGACCTTAAGGCAAGTTCCCCCTTCAACACACACACACACACACACCACCCCAAACCCTGCACAAAATAATAGACCTCCTGTCCAAATCTTTGAGCTTCGGAATATTGTGTCAGATTACATTTGGATACTTTTATGTTACTGCCAGAAATAATTAGAGTCAGAAAGAACAGTCATTATCTCAAGCCAAACAGTGCCTCTGGCCTGGTCTGTGTACTGCCTTTGTGGCTTACCGTATGCCACTGAGCGTGCCTGTTACTTTTTGCATTTTTACTTTATGAGTGGTGTGATGTTCAAGCCAGAGTGTGCCAGAGCTATTTTAACAACATACTCCTTAAATGCACCTTGTCTGCAACTCACATTGCAATGCGTTTTTTAAATGGCCTGACGAATGGATGATGTGTGGATGTGTGGTCGATACATGCCATGCTGAGGGGAGGGTCCGGGCTGCCAGCACTTGGGCTTCACTGCACAAGCCTTTCGATTTTGTTGCAGATTTGGAAACGTTCAGAGTAAAATGCTGAGGGGCGGGGCTGGGGGAGAGGTGAAATACCTCCTAACAGTGAACCAATTTAATTTAAACCAGGCTCTTGACCAGTGTGGTCCCTGAGGCCTGAGGGTGAGGCGGGTGTGTGGATTGATCCATTTCCTGTGGGGGGTTTCCTGCTGCCCAGGCTCCAAGCTGGTGCTGGTACAGGCTGGTCGGGTGGAGGGCCAGTCCTCTCTCCCTTCCCCTCCCGGATGAGCTTGTGCTGCCTCCCACACGCAGTGTGGCCCTGAGCAGTGGGTGCTGCCCTCTCCCGAGGCTTACGCATCACATGCCAGCTCTCAGCAGTTAAGGCTGCATTCCGCAGCCGCCTTCTGGCTGGATCTGGCTTTCCTCACCTCTCCCCTGAGGACTCGCCATATGCCTCAGCCATGCTGTGAAACGGAAGGGCACTCTTGCCCAGCACAATATTTGCTATGGCTTGGCGCCCCCTGGGTGAGCCAGAGGCTGTCCGGCATGCAAGAGCGAGAGCAAGAGCTGGGAGGCTCCTGCACCAGATGGCCTCCCTGCCACCTGCAGCGGCAGGCACTACCGAAGGGACAGAGAGGGGGAAAGGGGGGTGGTGAGGGCCATGCTGTGAAACGGAAGGGCACTCTTGCCCAGCACAATATTTGCTATGGCTTGGCGCCCCCTGGGTGAGCCAGAGGCTGTCCGGCATGCAAGAGCGAGAGCAAGAGCTGGGAGGCTCCTGCACCAGATGGCCTCCCTGCCACCTGCAGCGGCAGGCACTACCGAAGGGACAGAGAGGGGGAAAGGGGGGTGGTGAGGGGCAGGGGGTGAAGTGGCTAGTGAAGAGGCTCTCTGGAGTCAGGGCTGACCTGTACCGTGGGTCACACTCATTAGTGGTCACAGGGACATTCTGGATGCAGCCACCAGGGGCACTGACTCGCATGTGGAAGTAGAACCAGCACTCCCTCCCCCTCCCTCTCCAGTCTGCCACGAATTCATGGGTAAATGCAAACTCCTGTTATTCCTATTAGCCTTAGCAAAGGGCATTAGGAAGGAAAATAAGCTGCCAAAATAGTACAAAGTAGACTTTTTTTTAAAAATTAGGTAACAGGGCCAGCAGATGGCACGGTAGTTAAGGTGCTGTATTCCCATCTGGCCCCCTGTGGTTCGAGTCCTGGCTTGAAAATCACACCAGATGCGTGTGCGTGTGTGCTCCAAATCCTGAGAGGAGAATGGAGGAGAAGGGATTGTGGTGTGGCCACCCCTCCCTGGGGCATAATTTCTCACCTTCTCTCTGTCTCTCTCAGGCAAGCACACATACCCTATGGCAAAAAACAAACAAACAAACAAACAAACAAAAAACAAAAGAAAAAAACCACCTAAAAAAATTCAAGAATTAAGTGACATATGAGCTAGTGCATTCCACATTTGGTAGCGTGGAAAATGGAGACTGTAATAACTGTCAGGCCCTCAGTCTCCTTTGAAGGTGGCACCATCCATGTTTCTGACCATCCAGTACACCTGCATGCAAACACACACACACACACACACACACACACACCGCCCTCTGAGCCAGAGACTCCTTCCTTGACACCTGTAGAAACTCAAGGTGATGCCCAGCCCCGCCCCCTTTGCAGGCTGGGAAAAGGACCCCTCCAGCCTGGGTGTCCCTCAACAGGTTCTGGTTTAGATCAGGGCATGTTCCTAAAAGGCAGTGGGTTTACCTTGGGCTCTGGAGCCAGACTCCCTGCGTTGGAGGCCACGAGCGGCATGACCATTCCAGCCACTTCATCTCCCTGTGTCTTAGTTCCATTTCCCATGAAGTGATGATGGTGCCAATACCTCCCTCGGGTGGTTGCAGGCATTAACCAGGTTGACACGTGCAGAGCTGCGAAAGCAGAGCCTGACACACAGGTGAAGCGTGAAGTTCTGCGTGCTGCTGCTGCTCCTGTTGTCCTCAGCAGCTGCTCCTCAATCACCCCTTGCTGAGCTACAGGTCCCAAGGCCAGGCAAGAAAATAGCCTCACTAGGACTGAGGAAGAACCACTACATTTCTTTTCTGTTGTGACTTTAATAAATTTGGCCAAATCAAGCGACGTAAAGCAATGTGGATATATCCCCTTACCATCCTGAGGCCCGAAGTCTGAGCTCTTAGCCCGTTTTCAGTGGGCTAAAGTCAAGGTGTCAGCAGGACACACTCCTTCAGTAGGCTCTGGGAGCACCCTGCCTTGCTTCTCCAGCAGGAAGGCTGCATTCCTGGCATTCCTCCGGCTTCACAGCCAGCAGCCCACATCCTGCTTCTCCTGCTTCTCTTGTCCCCTGCCTCTCTCCTGAGCACTTCATGATTGCATGTAGGGCCCACCTAGGCCATCCAGGAGAGGCCCCCCTCTCAAACTCCCTAGCCACATCTGCAGCGTCCTTTTTGCTGCATGAGGTAACATAAGCAGGTCTAGAGACCGGGTTGCAGACACATTTGGGGGCTGTTACTCATACAACTGCTGAATCTGGAAGAAGCTGCCCTGGTCCCGTGGTCCTGGTCCGGCTCAGGCCAAGCTCTGGACCAACTTGGAGCCCAGCGTGGACTCAGCCAGGCTACACAAGCTGCCAGAGTCCTCGCGTCGCTCCACGTTGGCACGAGGCAGTCCGTGTCTCACTCTCCATTGGGTCCCCAGTGTCTGGCACGCGGTGGGCCCCGGATGGTTGTGTTCACATGTAAAGGTGGGCTGGCACTGATGGGCCACATGTGTCCTTGTAGGCCATGGTGACTGTCACTGTGGAGAGTGCAAGTGCCACGCAGGTTACGTTGGGGACAACTGTAACTGCTCGACAGACATCAGCACATGCCGGGCCAAAGACGGCCAGATCTGCAGCGGCCGTGGGCACTGCGTCTGTGGGCAGTGCCAGTGCACGGAGCCAGGAGCCTTTGGGGAGACATGCGAGAAGTGCCCAACCTGCCCAGATGCCTGCAGCACAAAGAGGTAATGGCCCCAGCCCCAGCTGTCCCCCCAGTCAGGCCGGTCTCCAGCCAGGCAGCCCCCAGGGCTGGCCAGCCTCTACTCTCCAACTCTGCACCGTCTACTGCCCAGCCTTGCTGTGGAGCGAAACTCACTGTTAATTGTAGCTTTGAAACTGTGGTCCCATGGAGCTTTTGTAAGAAAACAAAACAGGGACCAGCAGGTGTAATGGCTACATTGCTGGACTCCCATGTGGTCGACTGCAGTTCGAGTCCTGGACCTGGTGGCTTAAACTCACACCGGGTAAATGTGTGTGCGTGCCAAGATCCCAAGAGGAGAATGGAGGCGAAGGGATTGCAATGTGGCCATCCACCCTGGGGGGTGATTTCTTGCTTTCTGTCTCTGTCTCTGTCTTTCTGGCGAGCGCACGCGCCCTATAGCAAAAACCTCTCCAAGAAAAGAAAACGAGACTGCTCTTCTGTTCTTAAACAAGTTTGGAAATGACAGGACTATCGAGTTAAATAAAGTTAACCAAATATCTGTGCCTGGTACCAAAACTAGCACTTTCTCAGAGCCTTTAATGTACAATTGTGTATTTTCAAAAGAGCGTGCACCTTTTTTTCCCCCAAGTTATTTGACCCCCCACCCCCACTGACATCTCCCAAACAACGCTTCACAGAACACACCTGTATAGGAAATGGTGCTTTAAACAAAAATGTCATAGGACATTATTAAGAAATTGGGTAGAAAGTCACCGACCTAGATAAGGCATGCCCGAAACAAGTGCAATGGCTTTTGCATTTTCTGCTCCATTTATACAGATAATGGGGTCCTGGCCTGGCACTGCAGCTGAATGCAAGGTCGTCCAGGCACGGGCACTGGCCGAGCGGGTCACATAGCCGTGAGGCCACAGCCCTGCCCTTCGCACTCCACCACAGTGATGCTGCCTGGAAAGCAGGAGTGACATTTGCTCTAGAAATTTGCTGGAGACACAGCTGTGTCATCACGATCCGTGCTAAGGAGCCAGGAGGGAGGGGAGCGGAGGCGCAGATGACCAGAAACAAAGAATAAGACGGCATTGTTGCTCTTTGGCGGGGAGGCAACTGCGCAATTTTCCTTTGGCAAATTTCCCTCCCAAATGTCTGGCTCAGGCTGATAATGAAATGAGGTCACGCTCCCTGAGCCTGCGGGGACTGCGGGTCAGTCCGTGCTCAGAAACATTCTGGGTGGCGGCACCCTGCTTGGACGTTTGCCACAAATAATCCAGACAAGGGGAATTGTGAGCTGGCTGCAGATGGAGAGATGAAATAGACAGGTCCAGGTTTTATTTGGTTTATTTGAAGGTGGGGGAGGGCAGTAAGGGAGAAGAAAAACAGATCCGCTTTGGAGCTGCTAGAGTGGAGAAACAACGGCTTTCCAACTGGAGACAGCCCAGGGAGGAGGTTGGGATCCTGGGTCTGGAGCCCAGATAGCCACAGCCATAGCCATCTGAGCACGGGGCAGCCACTGTGGCTCCGCACCCCAGCTCCCACCCACAGGACTGAGTGTACGTTCCCAGTCCGTGGGGCACACTGGGTCCACGGGGAGTGGGGGCCCTGCTAGGGTGACACGCAGAATCAGTAAGAGGACATAAAGCCCTCAGCCTGCCCTTCTTACAGAGCAGCGGGACATGTAGGATTGACATTAGGACAATGAAATGACCCTAACTTGAACTGTTCAAAGCGTATATTTCCTGGGACGGGGAGATGGCATAGCAGTTACGTCCCTGGACTCCCACGTGGCTGACCATGGTCCGAGTACTGGACCCGGTGGCTTGAAAATCACATCGGGCACGTGTGAGTGCATGTCCAAGATCCTGGGAGAAGGAGAAGGGATTGTGGCATGGCCATCCCCCCTGGAGGGATCCTCTCCCATGAGCGCACGTACCCTAAGGCAAAAGCCTCTTTTTAAATGGAAAAAGAGAAGGCATTTATTTCCTAGAAGACATTGATAATATAATTTATCACCCATTAGGCAAAACCAAGGGAGCAGAGGATGCCATCATGCCATCGGGGAGTGTCGCTGCTCCATCTTGCTTCTCTCTGGGCCCCACAAACTCTCTGTCTCTTTCACAGCCTCATGGAAACGTTTTTTTTTTTTTAAACAAAGTCCTTTCGATAGTGGCTTACACAGGGCTATTTTTCCATTTTCTACTTTGCTGAGAGCTACCACGTTTTTGAGTGTCCTATGTCCTTATTTATCCCTGGGGTTCCAGGGCGGCTGACCTCCCTTTCCAGAACTAACCACACACACCCTTCGCTTTGGGTGAGTTCACACACAGCCTCAGCTGATTTCAGTTAACAGGCTCTCTAAGCAAAGTCTTGCTCAGAGACTTGTCTTTTTTTTTTTTTTTTTTTTTTTTTTTTTTTTTTTTTAAAGGCCAGACTTGTTTTAAAACATGACTGCAAAACATAGTATTACAAGCTTTACCCTGCACGTGGAGTATACAGTTAGACTGGCATATCCACATGGGTAATTAGGGCGTGTGTCCTGGAAGTGTCTGGAACTGAGATTTAACCGCAGCAGGGCATCCGACGGAGGGCTCGGTGAGTCCTGGCTGGGACCGGAAGCAGCCATCTCCCTGCCCTGTGTTACAGGAGGCTGGCGGAGGCGCAGGCCGGATCAGCATGAGGGACCAGAGCTGCAGCCACCCCTTCCTGGCCCCCAGCCAAGTCTCAGTTCCCTGCCCCCTGGGGCTCTGACTGGGAGCGGGGAGGAATGCAAGCTTCACCAGCTTGTTTCTAACTCCAGAATGTTTCCATGAGGTCAGTCTCAGGAGAGTGGGGTTTTGTGGCCAACTATGGGAGAGTCTAATTCTTAAGCATATTAGAACCCTCTTAAGAAAGCCTTGCTGGCCAACCAATGGCTTTGTGATGAAGGCAGCCAGAGCCCACACAGACAACTGCGCAGTTAGTCCCAGATCCGGCAGCTTGAGATACATGCTAGGTGTGTGCGCAGAATCTCAAATCCGGAATCTGGGGAGGAGAATGGAGGGATTGCGGCATGGCCATCCTCTCAGGGGGTGCTTGCTTTCTCTGTCTGTCTGTCTTTCTCTGGTGAGCTCACATGCCCTATAGCAATTTTTTTTTAAAAGGAGAAAGAAAATAGCCTTGCGCACGCCTCTCACGTACCCATTCTGAATGTTAAGTTCAGAAGTGGTAGAGGACCTTGCCCGAGGGGCAGGACTCCTTGGTGTGGGACCCAGCTCTGCCATGGGCTCCTCTTGGGTCTCGTTCTCCTGCTCTGTGGAACGAGGAGAACTTAGTGACATGGTCTCAGAACTCCCTTTCAGCTCCCAACTTCCATTTTGCAGTATCTGCTCTGGAAACATTGTAATAGCTGGCCTCTTCATCCCACAGAATTAAAAGATGATAATAAAGCCTGTGCATTGTGGTTGTGCCTCTCTACGTTATTCCAGAAAGCTTTCCCAACGTGCAGCCCCTTTGGTCTTCACAGGCCTGTAGCTGAGGCTTTGGGAGGTCACCCCATACACTCTGGGGCCAGGGCACGACTGCAGGGATGCAGTGGCTTCCTTAGCACACCTCAATCTTGAGTCCTAACCCCTTTTCCTGAAGGCATTTCCTGGGGGCTCTCACTGTCCTGCAGACCAATGAACATTGCATCTCAAAGCCACCCCCTTGCCCAGAGTTCAAGGTCAGCTGGATGATTTTGCTCCAGTCCACTCAGGAGTTTCCTCTGTCTGCTCAGCTCATCTCAGTCCCCCGGAGGAGCCAGGGCCCCTCCCCATTACCATAAGCTTTTTAGCCCCTGGGGAAAGCTTAGCTCCCCACCTGCTGTCCTCAGCCATTCTCCATTCCTCTGGGCTAACCAAAGATGGGGAAGGATGGTGGAAGTGGGTTTTAACTATGTCGAGTATAATGAGAACCATTTACTCGAGTATTATCATCAGGCATATTCATACACTAGCTGATTCTAACTGTCAGGTGCTGGTGGTAGGAGAGGGACTCCTTGGCCCTCATCCATCCTTCTAGAAGAGGCCCTGTTAGACAGTGTGGACTCCTTGGGAAGGAGCCATCACCTTGTAGCCTGTCCGAAAGTCTAGTGTCGAGAGCTTACCAGTCAAGTGGACAGTAGGGCCCATGAGAACCTGGGAGGTAGTCTCTATCTAGGATGGGAAGGGGCAGAGCCTGACGGTCTCCAGCTAGTGGTTCCCAGCCCTCACTGTGCATCAGAATTGCCCAGAGGTGCAGATTCTGTGGGTGTGGCGGGGCCTAGGCATGGGGGCACTGAGTGCTGGCCATGGGAATGTGGGTCCCCTTCAGGAGGTCACGAATACACATATTTTTGTTTGTTTTAAATCACCCAGAAGGCTCTGGCTTGGGGCAGACTGCTGAGCCCGGAATAGGATGCACCAAAGTATACATGAGTTTGGCTCCTCCTGTCAGAATTTGCAAGGTCTGTAACTTCGCATGGAGACATGGAAACCAGACAACCTTTACATTCAAAGTTCCTTCAAGGGCCCCCCGGGCTTCCCTGAATCACAACATCAAGGAGAAGGCAGAGTAGAAACAGCCCCTGAGGCCACACATCTGAGACTGGGAAGAAGTTCAAGTTGTTGGGAGCTCAGCAACGCGTGGTGGGCTGTGACACACATCTGACGCCCAGCTCCATGTCCTCTTTTCCAGAGATTGTGTCGAGTGCTTGCTGCGTCACGCGGGGAAGCCTGACAACCAGACCTGCCAGCACCTGTGCAGGGACGAGGTGATCACTCGGGTGGACGCCATCGGTGAGTGCCGGAGCTGCCCTGGGTAGCTGCCCTACGCCTGGAGGGGAGGGGAGTTGCGGCCTTGAGGTGGGAAGCACAGCCTGGCCTCGGCCTGCCTGCTGGGCCACGAGGATGCCGTGCTGGAAGACCGTCGAGTGGGGCGGACGCTTTGGAAAACAGCATGGCAGTGCCGAGGAGTTAAACGTGGGCTCGCTACAAGCCCGCAGTTCTACTCCCAGTACCCACCCAAGAGAACTGAAAACATATCCACAAACGCAGTACGTGTGCCTTCCAGCAGCACTGCCCACACCAGTCAGCACCGGCCACCCCCAGTGTCTATCAGCAGCTCAGTGGTCAACAAAATGCAGAGCAGTTACCCCTCGCCATCCGCAGGGCTGGTTCCGGGCCTCCCATGGTTCCAGAGTCTGTGGATGCTCGAGTCCCTCGTGAAAAACGGCTTAGTTTGCATATCCCCCACACAGCCTCCTGTATGCGGTAGGTCATCTCTCCCGATGATGAACACCTGCATTTACTGCGTCGTTAGTGCTCTGCGGACAGTTTGTATACCCTGTTGTTTAGGGAATCACGACAAAGGGGAAAGCCTGCATGTATCCCACCCCCTCCCCCAAATATTAGGTTGTCGGGAAAGTCATGACGTGTTTTTCTATCCAAAAATGCATCGCGCCTTTCCCCACAACCCAATATTCTCAGTGTTTGGTTGGTTGGATATGCGCGTGAGGAACCTGCTGATCTGAGGAATGGCAGGCTACGCATACAATGGAGTATCGAGTAGTACAAAGGAATGAGGTTGAAAAGAAGCCTGTGCCTAGAGAGGGTCTCTGCGTCCAAGGCTCCCCTTGATGGCAGACTGCCCTCCCTCCTCCTCCCCAGCTCTGCGGATTCCGTCCCCCAGCCTGTGGTCCTCACCTCCTCTTGGGGCATCCTTGTTCATGCCTCCCTGGTTTTGGCTGATTACTTGGCCAAGCCATGGCTTCCAAGTATGGTGGGCCATGTTTTCATCCAACACATACTCACACTTGCTCTGTGGGGATGGCCCGGGGCCAGGGGCTGTGCCACCCCCGGGAGATAGTTTAGTGGCATGTCCGCTGCACCAGGCCTCTGCCCTTCTCCCTGCCTCACTGTCCTCTCAGAGAGCCTGGCCCACATCAGCTGTTATCTGCAGTCTTGGGTCAGTTGCCCACTCACCTGGCTCACATGGTCAGAAAAGAAAAAGTCAGTTCCTTCTTGCAGCCCCACGGCCCAGCTGCCTGGCTCTGTGGCCGTCACAGCCCAGTGGCCCGGCCCGGTCGCTTCCCAGTCCACGGTCAGGCGGATCAGCCGGGACGTTTACGTTCATTCACCATCTGCCCTTGCCCTGTAGGTGTGCTCGCTCACGCTCTCACTCACACTCACACTCACATTCACACACTCTCTCAGCCCAGGGGTGGGAGAAAAAGTTGAGGCCTTTGTGTTGAACAACCGCTAACTTATCTGCTTCCAGGTTGAAACTCCTGTGAGCAACACGATAAACAGACAAGAGCCGAAAGGCGTTTCACACAGTACTAGTGGCCTTAAGTTGTCATTCAGGACCGGTGGCCATTGCAGCCTCGGTTCCTCTGACCCTCCCCGTCTGTCCCCTGGTTCCTTCCCCTCTTAACTGTCCTAGCCTCACAATGCAAAGAGTGCCTGGGTGGGGGATTGCGACACCTGCTGGCAGGTAAATGGCAGGGTGGGAACAGGGAGGAGCGGAGGCAGCTTCAGGATACTGAGGAGCCAGGCGGGTGGTATCAAGGGCAGGGCCAGGAAACGTCTCACCCCACCTCACTTTACCCAGGGTGCAGGCACCACCGCAGGGACCCCTCTCCCACCCACATGACCTCATCACCGCATCACCCTGTGGCCCTTTTAGATCTTGCATCCCAGAAGACTGCTGCCCCTTGGCCTCTGCAGCCAGCTCGCAGCCCGAGTGGGGTGGGCTGGTTCCCCAGTGCGGACCCTCGCCCAAGCCTGAGGGGCCAGAAGGACTCCTTATTGTCTCTGTCCCTTTGCTTTCCATTCACCTGACCCCACCCCAACCACTGGGGGCTGCTTTTCTTTCATGTCACTTCAGCAAACACTGCAGAGGTCTATAGAACCCCTTGGGTGTCCCCATGTCCCCAAAGCCATCTAAACTCACCCCTGAGCCTGCATTCTCCACATGAGAAAAACCGAACTCATTGTAAAGACCCCGCCTCCCCTTTAGGACTCTCTGCTCCTCTCCCTTCTGCGAGGCGCTGGGCTCCCCCACCTCACCCCACCATGCCATCGGGGGCTCCGGGTTGCTCAAGGGACACTCAGGGCATCTCTGCTGGGCTCTCTTCCAGTGAAAGACGACCAGGAGGCCGTGCTTTGTTTCTACAAGACCGCTAAGGACTGCGTCATGATGTTCACCTACGCGGAGCTCCCCAGTGGGAAGTCCAACCTGACGGTCCTCAGGGAGCCAGGTAGGCCAGGGCCTCAGCGTCGGCCACACGGCCCAGCCCCGGGGTTCTGATTGTGGGCACCACTCCCTGCTCTAGAGTTATCCCCCATTCTCTCCTCACTGTCCTTTCCAAACACCAGAGAGGAGGGAACCAATTCTCTGTGAAGACCAGGATTGAAACTGCTCCCATAGACGCTAAGAAAAAAGATGACTGTGCAGCTGGGCCCCACTGCAGGGGCCCCACTGCCAGGGCAGGGCTCTGAGGGCTGGGGCGGGGCCATGGCGGTGCAGAGGACAGGGAGTGGCTCATCTTGGAGGAGGCAGAACACACCGAACCTGCCGGCTAGTGCTGGGAAGGAGCTGCGTGCTCTGCAGAGGGTGCAGGTGTCCTGGCGGCCAGGGCTGGGCGGGCGCTGCTGGAGCAGGGAGCACCCAGTACGCCCACAGCCCGGGCCAGGCTGTGGCTGCGGCCCAGTGTGGGTTCCAAGGACAGATGGAGTGCCAGGCTATGCCTCCCTGCCTGCAGCCATGCTCTGCATGCACCCCATCCACTGAGGAGGTCAGGCTTTAATCCAAACACTGATAACCCTGCCTCATGCTTGGGGCCTGGGACCCACAGCCTTTGTGCTCGGTTAACTGGATTTCTAGTCTCTCCTCTTTGATTCTCGTCTGGAGGAGAAGGGGACTCATTCTGCTTTCTTTAACTCACAATATTGTACACTTTCCAAATTGAGTCAGACCACATCACGTGCTCGGCTGGGCCAGAGGCAGAGGCAAGTGTGGAGCCAGCCCAGGTGCGTGCCTATAAGAATGAGGCTTTGTGGGGTCGGCAGGTGGCGTGGTGGTTAAGGACATTGGACTCCCACATGGCTGACCGAGGTTCGAGTCCCAGACCTGGCGGCTTGCTTTCTCACTCTTGCTCACTCTGTCTCTCCCTGGTCAAATTAAAATAAATAAATGTATATAAGATAATTCTAAAAAAAAAAAAAAATGAGGCTTTGTTTCCAAGGCTATCTTTACAGTTCTTTCAGAATAAGCACATTTGCTCCACACTAAGGGCTTACAATGTTGGCCGGCCCAGCCCAGCTCTTGTGGAAGTGGCTTCATGCTGCCTCCTGCCTGCCCAGTCTGCTCCTGAGACCATTTACACGGAAGCCAGCCAGGGTCCAGCACAGGAGCCTGGGCCACTGGAGTGGGCGCGCCCGCCCTGCCCGTTAGGAAGTGCAGCCGTGCACCGGCTCTCATCTGGACTCTGCCATCGACTTGCCGTTTGACCTTGGAGCAGTCACTGTCCCTCTTAGGATCTCTCACTTCCCGCACATTTGGGGAAACCTGCCTGCCCATCCCAGGCCTCCCAGAAGCAACGAGAGGACCTGCGAGCACGGAGAGACGGGCCTTTGGGGGACACCTTCATCTCAGATGTGCCGGGAGAGGCTGTGGGGTGGGAAGGGTGGTCGTGCTGGTGGCTTTGCTCACTGTGCCTCCTGGTCTCCCTCCAGAGTGTGGAAACGCCCCCAACGCCACAACCATCCTCGTGGCCGTGGTCGGCAGTATCCTCCTGGTTGGGATCGCACTCCTGGCCATCTGGAAGCTGCTTGTCACCATCCATGATCGCAGAGAGTTTGCAAAGTTCCAGAGTGAGCGATCCAGGGCCCGCTACGAAATGGTAAGTGGTGGAAATGGAAGTGGAAGAGACTTGAAGCCCAGAGGCCTGGTTGGGTTCAGCTGCATGTTAGCGATAAAGGCCTGCTAGCGTCTGTGGCATCAGAAATAAAGAACCTACCCCTGAGAGCCCGGGCATTAACTGCCCGGTTTCCGGGTGCAGAGTGCCCTGGGCAGAGCCAGCCTCGTGTCCCGGTCAGGAGAGTCGTGGAGGCAGAGGTGCAGGCCCAGCCTTGGTGGGAAGGGTCTGACCAGTCTGGTGAAACAACAGGCCTCAGGAAAGGAGCTCGGTCTATTACAACATCCCTGTGTAAGTCTGGTCTCCCCAGGCAAACCTCACTCCTGAAGGACTGAGACGGAGGAAGCGCCAGAGTCCCGAGTTCATTTCTAGTTCATTTCGAAAGGACTTCCGAGACCATCTGAGCCGACGCCTCGTTTCAGAGATGAGAACGGGCTCAGGGAAGGCAAGGGCGTTTCTGAAGACAGAGCAAGTTAGAGGCAAAGCTGGTCCCAGAGCTGTAGGCCGTCCCCTCCCACCTGTGTGCCCCGTCTGCCTCTTCCTGGGTGTCCGACCTAGGGAGCCATTGAGCCCCTGAGGCTGTGGGTTTGAATGAGGCGACTGACGTGTGTCCTCTCACCTTTGTGCCCGTAGGCTTCGAACCCTCTGTACAGAAAGCCCATCTCCACACACACTGTGGATTTCACCTTCAACAAGTTCAACAAGTCCTACAATGGCACGGTGGACTGACACCGCCTCTCCGAGGGCTGGAGGGGGACTAGTGAAGACGTCAGACTGACATGCCTGGGACAGCTGCTCGGCTGGGTCTCCGCTCTCGGGAGAGGCGAGCACAGAGGCCCTCCAGTGCGCCTGGGCGAGGGCCCGCACGGGAAGGTACCTGGCCGGGCCACCCGGCTGTGGGTCAGGGTTACACCAGGCCACCTCCCTTCTGAGCCCAGGAAGAGCAAGGGACCTGGTGCTCTCGACCTTCCCCACCACGGCCAGCTGGTTGCCTCAGTGACCTGCTGAGGTCGGAGCCTCCAACCTGACCCGATGAGAAGGCCGGTGGAAGGGTTAGCGTGTGTAAAACCCACAGACTGGCTTTCTCATGTGGATCGTTTTTATATGAAATAAAAAGACCGTGCACTATGGCGTAGTTCCGATTACTGAGGAGTGTCTGCCTGGTGTCTGTGCCTTGCACGTGGGTGTTGGTGACGGGATTGTTGAGGTGCCTGTTGAAGGTACATCATTTTCAAATGTCAGTTTTCCCCTCCTCTCCATGTTTGTTTAGTACTTTTGTAATGAAAAGCAAAGAGATTGGGACTGAAAGTAAAGATTAAAACAAGAGCTTGTGTGTGCCTGATAACTCACTCCGATGTGCATGTGCGTTTCTTTCTGAGTGGTCTCGAGTCTTGCCCAGAGGGCTCAAGATGGCCATGCGCTGGCTCAGGGACCATACTCCGGACCAGGGCCGGTCACAGAGCTCCCGTGTGCTCAGGACACTCGGGCTGGCACAGGGGCACTGAGGGGCGCTCGTGAGCTCTCCCAGCTTTTGCTTAAAGATAGTTCCAGGCTAGAAACGGCCCAAACCAGACCCCACACACACCGGGTGCCGAGGTGCTGAGGCTGGATAGATGATTGTGCAGATGAGAAAGGGTCGAGCTGTGGTTTCCCCACAGAATCCACACTCCTTCCACGTACTCCCGTAACGGTTCCTTCCAGTGTTTCCCATCGGACTCCTATGCCCCGCTCAGGCCCAACGCACAAAAGTCATTTCAGCTTTGGGAACCAGCAGTTAGCGTAATGGCTATGTCGCTGGATTCCCACGTAGTCGACCACGGTTCGCGTCCTGGACCCGGTGGCTTAAAACTCACACTGGGCGCGTGTACATGCGTGCCCAAGATCCCGAGAGGAGAATGGAGGAGAAGGGACTGTGGCGTGACCATCCGCCCTGGGGGGTGATTTCTCACTTTCTGTCTCTATGTCTCTCTCTGTCTGGCAAGTGAACGCGCCCTATAGCAAAAATCTCTCCAAAAAAAAAGTCATTTCAGCTTTGTTTTTCTGAAGTCCCCTTAGGTTCCTGTATGTGAGACAGAGGGGGTCCCAGAGGTTGACCCTCTACCCTGAAGAGGAAACACCCTCCCTTGCTGAAGCGGCAGGAGGCCATCTGATGATAAACACTGCCCTGCTGCACAGCCTGCGGCTTTCTCTTGTAAAATCGCTTTCACTGATCAGTTTTTGCCTTTGGCATCACTTCCAGGCTATTGTGCTTTTATTCCCAACTGATCTGTTCTGAGCCTTGGGCCAAACGCTCCCTTACTGCATTTCGGCAAACGTCAAGTCTAATACCTGTCAGTAAACTGAGGCAACTGTGATCAGGTTCTGTCCCTCCATTTTGTGTACAGATAAGAAGACACAGATGCTTTGTGATTTGGTGAAGCTGCCTTACATCCTTTTGGGAATCAAGCCAAATGTAAATAAACACATAAAACAGGTAAATAAAATGGTAGCTTGGGGACTTCTTTAAATTGAGAAAAAGAAATGATTTGGGAAGAAACTTTGGGCTTCTCTTGTGTGTGGGCCGCTCATAGGGCCCTGCTGCCCCCTACTGGAAGCTCTTGGGACACCTCACTGCGAGATTGACCCAATATACGATTGCCTTATTTTTTAAGGTTATCCGGTCAGCAGAAAGAGACTGCAAAGGCCATCTGTTCCAAATACAGTTCTGCAACCCAGGCCCAAATAGGTCATTTTATGATTTTCAAATATTTCAAACAAGCCCTTAGGGGATTGCCTCTCTGGCCACTGTTAGCCCTCTCCCCACTCCCCTGTCCTGATAATACAGACGGTGGAGCAGAGGCTGATGGTGGGCAAAGTGCTGCATTTGTTTGCTGAGAAGGGCTTACCTTTATAATCCTTATGTTGGTCTTACTCCAGATCTCCAAGTGGTACTTGTGATTTTTATTGATTTGAGCTTTTTCTTTCTAGTCACAGAATTCTAAATGGAAAAGATGACAAACACAATTATAAAAATCATTTAAAATCACACTATTCAGAGGTGGCGTATAGCTTCCCAGTCTTTTTTCTATATACCTGTATGTCATTTTAACCAAACAGGGATTATACTGTCACTTTTCTCGTTTGTTTTAGAATTTTGTCTTCAGGTCCATGTTCTCACCGGGGTGGGACAGAGGAAAAGTGGGAAATCACCCCCTGGGGGGATGGCTATGCCATAGTTCCTTCTCCTCCAATCTCCTCAGGATTGTGGCCATGCAGGCACAAGCACCTGGCATGATTTTCAAGCAAAGTGCTCTCAGCTACGTGGGAGTCCAGCGCCTTGGCCACTATGCACCTGCTGGCCCTATACTTTCACTCTTTTTAAAAGGTAGGGAATTATTTTTTCGCTCTGCTGACCAGCACTTGACCAAACTGAAGTAGCCAATAGCTATCTCTTCCAGGGATAAAATGTGCGTTTTAAGTGTGTTTAATTAGGGTAAAGCATGAGATGATTACCATGAATTTGGGTGAGAACAAACAGCTGGGAGATTAGGGGAGCGTGTAGAAGATCTTTCTCTGGCACAGTGTCCCCTGTTAACTCCTCCCTCTCTGGAGGATGTCTGGCACTAGTGGCTCCTCCTTGCTTCAGAGGGCAGCCCTGTACACAGGCTTGAGCTGTGTGTCCCCATCCAAACTCATGTTTAAGCCCTAACCCCCAATGTGATGGTATTTGGAGATAGGGCCTTTAAAAAATGAATTAAGGGGGAAAAAATGAATTAGGGGGACCAGCAGATGGAATTAGATCACTGGACTTCCACATGGCCAACTGCTGTTTGAGTGACAGACCCGGCGTGCAGTGTGCCCAAGATCCCAGGAGGAGAATGGAGAAGGGATTACGATATGGCCATCCCCCCATGGGGTCATTTCTCACTTTTCCTCTCATTGTCTTTCTTTCAGGTGAGCACACATGCCCTAAGGCCAAAACCTCTTAAAAAAAAAAAAAGAAAAAGGAAGGGGGGGGTTGCCCTAACCTAAGGAGGAGGGGCCAGCAAGTGGTGTGGTAGTTAAGGTGGCTGGACTCCCATGTGGCCAACCAGAATTCAAGTCCTGGACCTGTGGCCTGAGGATCACACCAGGTGCATGGGCATGCGTGCCCATGGTCCCAGAATGAATATGGGAGAGTAAGGATTGTGGCGTGGTTATACCCCTGGAGGTTGATTTCATGTTTTCCCTCTCTCCAGAGAGCATATAAACCCTATCCAAAAGAAAAAGAAGAGGGGAGGCACCAGGGCTTCACAGAGGAAAGGCCATGGGAGGACACAGCAAAAGGCCACCATCTTCAAGCCAATGAGCAGATCCTTAAAAGAAACCATACACAACGGCATCTGGACTTCCAGCCTCCAGAACTGTAGGAAATATGTTCCTATGTTTAAGCATATGATATTTTGTTACAGCAGCCAGAGCTGATGGGCACAACTAGTCATGGGGCTTTGTGACTGGTGAGGACAGGGACAGAGGAAGAAAGGAAGATGCAAAGGATAATGATGCAAAAACTGAGGAGGAGGGAAGTGCTGGACCTGTGGGGCCTGAGGTGCCTGAGAATCCTGCTCAGGTATGCCCAGAAATGCCTTGTAAATGCAGACAGGGCACTGCCTGCCTGGAAGCTCAAACCAGGAACAAATAATGTGGCTTCTTTTCTGGGAGTTGGCACTTTGGGTTCTCTGGAGGGACAGCTGGCTGAGAAAGCTTAGTTAGGTTTTTCTCCCACCTGGCTTCATGTCCCCCATTGCAGCGGCTCCAGATCTCTTAGGACTGGCTCACGTTCAGCTCTGAGACTCTTTATGGATGAGGATGTGGAACGGAAGGGAGAAGAACAAGAGGGAGAAGGCTGAGCCTGTACTGGTGCTCGGCAGAGGGTGGGGACCTGTCCCAGGACTAGTCCTTATTCCCCAGGCTCCTACTGAGCTCGCTGCTGGAGGGCACAGAGCAGACTCATGGGAGCAGGGAAGGACAGTCACTGCCTGCCAGCCTGATCTGACAGAGCCACCTCCCAGAGGGGCTGGGATGCGTCACACTAAGAAGGGCTTCATATTCGATTTATTTCTCTTGGAGTTCATGGCCAGGGTGTCCCTGCCTCCTGTGACTGATGCTCATTTTGTTGTGCAGTAGGACCAGCAGAACTGCCTGTTAGTGTCTTGATTGTCAGGAAACTGGGAGCAAAATGTATTCCATTTACTGAGACTTTATATGATGGGGATGAGAAAGAACCTTGGGCCTTACTGGAATTCCTGGTCCTCTCCACCAAACTCTGTCCCCTCCTCCATGGACCCCCATACTCCCCCTCCTCCCCACTGCACATGCTTTCTGACCCTTTCCCTTCAGACAGAGGTCCTTCTGCATCATGTCTTCGCTTTAATATACCTCAAATTCCCACTGCAAAAAGAGCTATAAACTGTAAGGACACAGCCATCAAAGTCACAGCCTCCATGACCTTGTAGGTGGAGCAGCATCCCAAAATAGGCTGCCCCCCACTCCACATCTAGCTTCGCCTCTGCCCTAGGTAGGAATTCTTTTTTTTTTTAAGGTTTTTGCCACAGAGTATGTGCCCTGGCCAGAGAGAGACAGAGAAGCAAAGTGAGAAATCACCCCCTAGGGGGATGGCCACATCACAACCCCCTCTCTGCCATTCTTCTGGGATTTTGGGCACACACACACACATGCCCTGTGTGATTTTCAAGCCACCAGCTCTGGGACTCGGATTTGGGGGTTAAGTCCAGCACCTTAACTACCACCATGCCACCTGCTGGCCCCTAAGTAGGAATTCTTAACCTCTCCGTGTTGTGGATCCCCTTGGCATTCTGGTGAAAATTCAACAAGAAAATTCAGCCTGTCGTGTCATAGGAAGCTGGAGCCACAGCAAGCTCAGGCTGCCTCAGCCAGGACACACATGGCCTCTCCATCTTTAAATTCATTTTTTAAAGGCTCGCTGAGGCAAGCGCTCTCTGGACCTTCGCTGCTGTCCTGCAGCCCTCCCGGAAAAACAAGGCACAGACCTGCTGTGGGCTCCACATTCTCTTCTCACTCACTCTCTCTCTCTCTCACTCTTTTTTTTAATAATTACTTTATTTAACTTTATTTATTTTTAATTTGACCAGAGAGGGACAGAGAAGGAGAGAGGGAAAGTGAGAAAGCAAGACACCACGTCCAGGATTTGAACCACGGTCGGCCATGTGGGAGTCCCGTGCCCCTAACCACCACACCACTTGCCGGCCCCATGGTTCCACACTTATTAATCCGGTGTCTAACTCCCTCCCAAGGATTCAGTCACAGGACACAGAGCCCACCCAAGG